ATATAAGCACAACAGGGACCTGTTCCAATGACTTGGGACCAGCCAAGCTTGTATAGTTTTCAAGTCCAGATGACAAGGAGTCAAATTATTCAAAGGCAATGGCTCTCGTCCTTAGTAGACTTAAGGCAACCCTCAGTGGACTCGAGGTACCCCTCCAAAACTTTTGTGAATTGAGTTGTACTCAATTTCAAAAACTAATGTATATACTATAGTGCTTACCTCCTGGCAAGGGAGCCAGGCAGTGAGGGTGGGGGATCAGCCAAGTAGGGACAAGCCTGAGCCTGTGCTTATCTGTTTGAACTGTTTGGCACCTTTCAAAGGATCTGGCAAACCCAGGTTGTTCTAAAAAAACAGCAGAGGGGTAGGTGGGCTGATGCAGCCGGCCCAGAAGTAGGGTTTAGGTGTGCCTCTTACGTTGCGTCTTATCACAGCTTCAACACTAAAAGGAAAAGCCTTCAGGGAAGTGAAGGTAAGGGTGGGGGAAAAAAATAAATATTTTTTCTTTCAAATTAGATTTATACACTTAAAAAATAAAACTTTGCCTGGAACATTACTTGAGTGTGGCATTGAATGACTCCTTCCTGGCAAGTTGGAAAGATATACTTTGAGTAAAGGGAAACTGAGGCTGCAGAAACCTGAAGCTAAAAAAGGAAAGCAATGCCAGGCATATGTGCCAACTTTTATTTTTGCTGGGGGGGGCTAAGACGATGGACATGTAGAAAGCTTTACATTATTTCAGGTGACAGCCCTTTTCCCGAGTGGGGCCAGGGCCCTCGGGCCCCCATGTACTCAGTGCCTTTGGTGCCAGGATGGAGAGGATTGCCATTGCATTAAGACTGGAGCAAGGAAATATAAAGCCTGGACAAGTCTCCCCACAGACTGTTTTACGTGCAAAGAGAGTACTGTAAAAATTAAGCAGAACGTACACTTAAAGCACATTTCCAATCTGGAATTCTCTGCTTTTACATGAAGTTCTTCAAAAGCCAGGATCAACCCCTAAAACACAATAATAAATATTAATAAACTAATTTATGTAATGAAAAAAGAATGTGCACAGTGGTTAAAATATGCAGTATTCCAAATTTGATGTTATTTTCAGAAATATAGTTTTAAATAGTTAAGACTGTAAAGAAATGTTACTTTATTTGAATTAATTTTAAAAGTCATTGCTAATTAAAAGTGGATATTCAAGGAGTTCTATACTTAGATGGTAAGCTGTTTTGAGAAGTTAAATCTTTCTGCTGTGTGTGTGTGTGTGTGTGTGTGTGTGTGTGTGTACAGGGATGACAGCTGCTACTTCCTTTTATACAATAGTGTAGCACAGGGGTGTAAAATGTACAGCCTGTAGGCCAGATCTGGCCCGCAGAGTCCCAACATCTGGCCAGCTTGCTGCCCCTGGGTTTGAGTTGACTCAAAGGCCACATGCCAGATGCAGTGCCCATTCCAGCTGGCCTGGGATTTACACTGCACATAATACACATTCCAGCCATTCTAGCATCTGCACCACATGGAACCCATTCCATGTGCAATGTACCCACTGCCCCACTCTCCCTCCCCAGCTGGTCTGGGATATGTGGGTGCCACATGCAGCATAGGTCCCTGACTGGCTGAAGTGGGTGCCACTTGCAGCATACTCCCAAATTGGCTGGGGGGGGCACCACAGGCACTAGATCCAGCATTGTGGTGGAAGGGGGTCCATGGGACTGATCCAAGCCAAGGACCAGCTCCATGCCATTGGTGTAGTGGTTAGAGAACACTTGCACAATATGGGAGACCCAGACTCAGTTCCCTCCTCTGTCTGAGCAGGCTCAAATACACATCTCTACCTCCCAAGGACAAAAAGGCTATGCTGGGTAATGGCACTTTCACCTCTCCTTAAAAAGCTGTTCTACTTTGCAGAAAACCACTAAAGAACCTTTTGGCAAGAGAGAAACAACAAGAGGGAGAAAAGTGGTTAGACCACTCACCTGGGAGTGAGGAGACCTTCATTTCAAGTCTGTGCTCCAAGGACTATTGGTGTAAAATACATAAATATTCCTTAGCATAGAAGCTGGAACCCAAGTCTCCCACCATCCCAGGTGACTGTTCTAACCATGAGACTACAGAGGCATGGTTCCTCTCTCTGCCTCAGTGAATCTTATTTTAATATTTTCTGCAAACCTAACTACTAAATAAGAGTGCTTAAGATCACCCCCCCCCCCACTTCAGAATATCTCATCAGAGTCTATCATTTGGGGCC